GGCTCATAGTTTATTCCACCGAGGCCTGGCCACAGTACGCTCTAGACAATCAATCTAAATGGCCTCCTGAAGGGACTTTCGATTTCAACATCCTCTGGGATTTAGATAATTACTGCCGCAGGACAGGTGAATGGTCCGAGGTCCCCTACGTCCAGGCCTTCTGGTATTTACGCTCCCGCCCTTCCCTCTGCATCGATTGTTCCACTTCCCAGATCCTTCTTGCCAAACAGACATCTCCTATCTCCAAGCCCCTAATTTCGTTTGACGATGACCCCTCTCCACTAGCCGACCCACCCGAATCTCTCGCCTCTCCCCCCTCCAGAGCTCCTCTCCAACCCCCACCCTACCCTGGACCGGCCCCTCTCCCTCCTGAGCCCACCCCAGTGCCCCCCACCGCTGCCCCGCTTCCCCCGGCAACCTCTCCCTTGGCTTCCCCTTTCCCTGCTTCCTCCCCCTCCACCTCTCTCTCCTGCCCCTCTCCTCGCCTATCAGCTCACACACCCGCTCTCACCACCACGACTCCCAAGACCCAAACCTTCTCTGTCCCTTAAGAGAGGTGGCCGGAGCGGAAGGATTAGTTACGGTTCATGTTCCCTTTTCCCTCCAAGATCTCTCTCAAATAGAAAAGTGATTAGGCTCCTTTTCTGCCGACTCCTCCCGCTACATCAAAGAATTTCGCTACCTCTCTCAAGCTTACGATCTAACCTGGCACGACATCTTTGTGATCCTATCTTCTACTCTGACCCCCGACGAGAGGGAAAGAATTCAAACTGCTGCCCGAAACCACGCAAATCAGGTCCACCTCACTGATAACTCTACGCCCGTCGGAGCCACTGCCTTTCCTGGCACCGATCCGGGCTAGAGTTATCAGGACGGCCAAGACGGTCGCCGCAAACGCGATCTAATGATCCAATGCCTCCTGGCTGGTATGCAGGCTGCCTCCCACAAGATTGTCAACTTCAAAAAGCTAAAAGAGATAACCCAAGAGCCCAATGAAAATCCAGCCGTTTTCCTCAACTGCCTTACAGAGGCCCTAACTCTCTACACCCGCTTGGACCCTGACACCCCTGCAGGCGCAACGGTCTTGTCCACCCACTTTATCACCCAATCAGCCCCTGATATCAGAAAAAAACTTAAGCGGGCAGAGGACGGCCCCCAGACTCCCATCCGAGACCTGATAAAAATGGCCTTTAAAGTCTACAATGCCTGTGAAGATTTGGCAGAGTCCAGCCGACAGGCTCGGATGCACCAAAAGGGGGCCCTCCAGACCCAAGCCCTCGTAGCCGCCCTGCGGCCGGCCATCTCCCTTGGACAACATCCACGGGACCCGCCAAAGGCAACCCCACCAGGGGCCTGCTTCAAATGTGGAAAAGAAGGGCACTGGGCTTGCCAATGTCCCAATCCCCGGCCTCCTTCCAAGCCCTGCCCTGGCTGCGGGCTAACAGGCCATTGGAAGAGTGACTGCCCTATGGCCGGCCTTCCCTCAGCACCTCCACGTGGAGGGCGAACCGTCCCGACGGCTCTACCACTCGAACTCCTGGGATTGGCTGACGACTGACATCACCCGGACTCGAAGACTCCCATCACCCTCGCCGAGCCTAGGGTGACGCTACAGGTAGCGGGTAAGTCCATCTCATTCCTGCTGGACACAGGGGCTACCTATTCGGTCTTGCCTACATATTCTGGGCCAGTTTTTCCTTCCCAGATCTCGGTTATGGGCATCGACGGTAAGCCGTCCTTCCCGCTCCAGACCGGCCCCCTCTCATGTTACATCGAGAGGCTCCCTTTCACTCATTCTTTCTTAGTCATACCATCCTGCCTGGTTCCTCTGCTAGGTTGTGATGTTCTCTTCCAATTAGGGGCCTCTCTCCAACCTGCCAGACTTGATCCTAAGGCCTCCTCCTCTCAACTCCTGCTTCCCCTCCTCGGTCTGGCAGCAGAGCCCTCTCCCTCCTCTCTTCCTCCTCCCATCTCCCCCAACCGGATAGACCCCCAGGTCTGTGATACATCAAAACCCATAATTGCGACACACCACCCCGCTGTCCTAATCCGTCTAAAAGACCCCTCCAAGTTTCCATCCAGGCCCCAATTCCCCATCTCTGAGACTCATCTAAGGGGCTTACAGCCTATTATCACCAGACTCTTAGACCAGGGGCTCCTCGTCCCCACGGACTCTCCCTGCAACACCCCCATCCTGCCTGTCCACAAGGCCTCAGGAGATTACCGCCTGGTCCAGGACCTCCGACTGATCAATGAGGCAATAATTCCCCTCCACCCAGTTGTGCCAAACCCATACACTTTGCTCTCCCATATTCCCCCGTCCACCACCCATTTTATGGTCCTAGATCTCAAAGACGCCTTCTTTTCTATCCCTCTACACCCTGATTCCTACTTCCTTTTTGCTTTCACCTGGACAGATCCGGATACCAAGGCTTCCCGCCAGCTTACCTAGACGGTTCTTCCCCAGGGCTTCCGCAACAGCCCCCACCTCTTTGGCCAGGCTCTGGCGCGGGACCTCGCTTCCTGCCCTCTCACCCCCAGTATAGTCCTCCAATAACGTGGATGACCTCCTCCTCTGTAGCCTATCAGCCTCTCAAAACAACACACTGCTGACCTCCTCAATTATCTCGGCTCTCGCGGCTATCGGGTCTCTCCAACCAAGGCCCAACTGTCTACACCCTCAGTAACCTACCTGGGAGTCCACCTTACCCCCACAACAAAGAGCCTGACAGCCGACCGCACCCAGGCCATCCGCGACCTCCAACCTCCAGAGACAGCTGACCAGATTCTCTCCTTTCTGGGCCTAATAGGATTTTTCCGACACTGGATCCCTAACTTTGCTCTTCTTGCTAAACCCCTATATTTAGCTGCTAAAGAAACCCCCCAAGGACCCCTTACCTCTCCCTCCACTGTTCAACGGGCCTTTCTCACCCTCAGAGACACCCTGATATCCTCCCCTCCCCTTTCTCTGCCTAACCCCAACTGTCCTTTCCACCTCTTTGTAGATGAATGGACTGGAATAGCTACTGGACTCCTTGCCCAACCCGTAGGGCCTTCCTATCGCTCCGTGGCCTACCTCTCTAAACAACTTGACCCAACCATTCAGGGATGGCAACCATGCCTCTGAGCTTTGGCAGCAGCAGCCGAGCTGACCAAACAAACACTCAAGCTGACCCTGGTCCGCCCGCTGACTGTATTTTCCTCCCACCGACTGGCCAACCGCTTCGGCCATAAGTCTCTCTCTCGGGCCCCTCCTGCATCCAGGAATTCCACCTGCTATTCATTGAAAACCCTGCTATCTCCCTCGACCTCTCCCCGCCACCCCCCCCCCCCCCCCCCCCCCCCACCCCCGCCTAAACCCGGCCTCCCTCTTGCCTATCTCCGATACCGGGACCTCCCCTTCCCACTCCTGCCCCCAAGTCATAGAGGCCCTCAGTCCGCCGAGGGAGGGACTCTTTGATACGCCACTGTTAAACCCGGACCGCACCCTCTTCGTAGATGGCAGCTCAATACTCGGCCCCGACGGACGCCACTGGGGTGCCTACGCGGTAGTAACCATCTCAACCATTATCAAGGCCAACAGCCTCCCAGAATGGACAACCTCTCAAAGGGCTGAACTGATTGCACTCACATGGGCCCTCAATCTCTCAAGGGCCAAAGGGTCAATATCTATACAGATTCTAAATACGCCTTCCTGATTGCGCACAGCCATTCAACTCTTTGGAGGGAGCGCGGATTTTTGACCAAGGGTTCCCCGGTGGTCAATGCTTCCCTCATTGCAAAACTCCTGGATGCCCTCCAGCTGCCTGAGGTGGCAGTCATCCACTGCAGGGGCCACCAGTCTCCCTCTAACCCAATAGCACAAGGTAACTCAAAGGCCAACTCCGTGGCCCGTGAGCTCACCAAAGAGGCCCCTCCAGCTCCGATCTTGTTCCTCACCACCTCAATCCGACCCGCATACGACCCCCATGAAGAGACAGCTCTACTATCCAAAGGGGGCCACAAGGCCAAAAAAGGATGGATTTTTATGGACAACAAAGTTGCCCTCCCTTCAGCCCAAGCGGCCAGCCTCCTATCAGACGTCCACAAGTCCCTACACATTGGCCCGAAGGCGATGTTCCGTTTCCTAGATCCCCTGTTTTACATGCCTGGACTCAGAGATGCCATCTCAAAAACTCACGTGGCTTGCCAGACTTGCGCGTCCGTCTCTCCACAAGGAGGCCTACGGCCCCGAATCCCTACTCACCAGATGGGCAGACACCAACCTGGCGAGGACTGGCAGATTGACTTCACCCACATGCCCCGCTGTAAACGCTTCCGATATTTGCTCACTCTCGTTGACACCTTTCCAGGTTGGATCGAGGCCTTCCCAGTGGCCTGAGAAACGGCGGATACGGTCGCCACCATCCTTCTCCAACATATCATCCCCTGATTTGGCCTGCCGATCTCCATCCAGTAGGACAACGGACCCGCCTTCGTCTCTCAGGTGGTTCAACAGGTATCCGAGGCTCTTCAGATCACCTGCAGACTCCACATCCCCTACCACCCCCCGTCATCCAGTAAGATTGAGCGTGCCAACGTAATCTTGAAAGACCACCTCACCAAGCTGTCCCTTGAGGTCCGTATCTCATGGCCCAACCTGCTCCCCCTTGCCCTCACCCAAATCCAAGCCTCACCTCGGACCCCTACTGGTCTCAGTCCATTCGAACTGCTCCACGGCCGCCCTTTTCTCCTCCATAACCTACCAACGCAAAACCCACCCCCAGCTTCCTACCTCCCCTACCTGTCTCTGCTTCGCCACCTTCTCCGTGAACATGCTGACCACAACCTGCCGACGGTCACTGCCTCTGAAACTTCCTCTCTCCTTCTACAACCCGGCGATAGCATCCTCCTCAAAGAATTACACCCCCAATCTCTCAAGCCACGGTAGACAGGCCCCCATATGGTGATCCTCACCACTCCCACGGCAGCTAAACTCTTGGGACACCCCTCCTGGTACCATGTCTCCCGCCTTAAAATGGCCCCAACTTCAGAGACTTGGACGGCCCTACCGCTGGGTCCCACGAGACTACGGCTTGCCCGTCACCCTGTCTCTCCTCCTGCTGCTCCTCCTGCCACCCAGGACTCACCAGATGTCCCTATGGCACTTCCATGTCCACGGGACATGGCAAGCTAAAGGTCGGACCCACGCCCGAGTCCTGGGCACGGGAGACTGCCAACCAGATGGGTGCCAGGCCCTGGTAACAGTCCAGATCCCCATCTCTAACACAGAAGGTGTTCCCCTGGGATGGTCCACCCCCACTGTCTGCTTCACTTACGATCAGACCCGAGACTATTGTCAATGGTGGGATGAGACCTATGGGGGGTGCCCCTATCACTCATGTAACATCCATGTGGCAAAACTAGATACCAGGAGCTCACTCCGACAATCCCACCTGCTCACCACAAATGGCAAGGGTCAATTATTCATCAACATCAAAGATCCCTGGGACACAAGATGGTAAAAGGGGTACAAGGAAAAATTTACCAGTGGGCAACTGATGCCTACCCCGTGGGCTCTATCAGGGTCTTCCGCCCATACGTCAGAGTGATCCCTGAAATTATCCAGCACTTGAGTGAGCAGGCCACCATGGTCCAGGAGATGGAACAGGCCCTAGAATGCCAACTACCCCACCCTGACCACAAGACGGACCCTTTTTCTTGGTTGGCCCTCATCTGCCAGGGGGTGCAAATGCTTAATCACACCAGGATAGGCAACATCTCTGACTGCTTTCTATGTGCCTCACTTGGCAGACCACCATTAACTGCTGTCCCACTCGACCAGCCCTTCACCTCTACCCTCCTCAATTCCTCCCAAAACTTACCTTTTCCCCCTTTAAGAGTCCCCATATTTCTTGATTTAGAAAAAAAGAACCTCACAATTTGCTATGGCAGCCACCCAAACTTAACTAATGATGCACTCCCTTGCAATTCATCCCTCCCTGTAACTATGCCAATGGGGGCCCCACCAGGCTTGTTCTTTTGGTGTAATGGCTCCCTTACAAAAGAGGTCAACTCTTCCTCCCCCTTCCCATGTATCCCCGTCACCCTTGTTCCACAACTCACGTTATATGGCCAAGCCGAATTTCTCTCACTTACCACACAACTTTTTGGCTGACAAAAAAGGGCCATCTTTCTCCCTATGGTCGCAGTCATTTCCCTCACCTCCTCTCCCATTGCTGCGGGCATCGGGGGAGGAGCCCTAACACACAGTGTCTCAACATCCCGCGACCTAGAACAGAAACTCCAGCTAGCCATCGAGGCTTCTGCCGCGTCCATCACCTCCCTCTAGTGCCAGATCACCTCAGTAGCCCGAGTTGCCCTCCAAAATCGACGTGCCCTGGACCTTCTGACAGCCGACAAAGGAGGTACCTGCCTCTTCCTACAGGAAGAGTGCTGCTACTACATAAATGAGACAGGGGTCGTTGAAGACAATGTAGATGCTCTCCGATGCTTAAAAGAAGAACTCCAACGCAGGCAGCGACAATCCACCTCCCCCATCCCCGACTGGTGGCGGTCCACCCTCTATACCTGGCTGACACCAATCCTAGGCCCCTTCATCCTTATCTGCATCCTATTCATGCTTGCCCCGTTTCCTCAGGTTTCTCCGCAGCCGTATACAAGAAGTCTCTCGGGTGGCGGTGAATCAGATGCTCCTCCACCCATATACCTTACTACCCACAGAAACCCCCGCTGCCGCCCTCCCCTAACCTCCAGACCGTTGGCCACCCGACTCCCTTCCAGCGCCCCCGTACAGCAGGAAGTAGCCAGAGGCCAAACGTCGCCCCGTTACACCAAAGAAGTCGGGATGTAAGGCCAGCAGGTCCGGGGAAGGGCCCAGGGAGTCAGACGGAACCCCCACCAGGGTGGTTGATGCGGCCAAACCCACGAGTGGCATCAGCCCGGGACTTTCCACCTGCTCAGGAAACAGACCCGGGACTTTCCACTCGGCCCCGGTCTTCCCTCTCCCCGAGGGGCGGAACCAACGGCTCTGAGGCTGATGCAACCGACCGCTCCCCGAGGGGCGGAACCAGCGGCTCTGAGGCTGATGCAAGCGACACCTGACATTGCCATGACACCTGAAAGATTATCAAAAAAGGGGGCTGCTTCACACAGCAAGTGCCTCCCCTGCGTCCACCCCTATAAATTTTGTTCGCGCCGCACCCGGGTACGACTTCTCTGGCCCCTTTCTCTCGGACAAGTGAACCTCGCCCGGGAGCGTTCCCAAATAAAGCTTGTTTAAGCTCTCCTCCGTTTTTGGTGCTGTTCCTTACAACCACCACCAAAAAACCTATCAAACTATAGGTCTGACCTGTGTACACCTAACTTGAATCACTATCATTATAATGAAGTGTCACTGCCTCTCACCCACTTCCCAGACCTGTTTTATCTAGACTGGCCTATCTAAGGCCTTTGACTCAAGAGATAATGTGTCCCTTTTGACACCTACTTGTCACAAGGATGTAATATGAGGTTTCTTCGGCCTCCCTCCAAAGGTGCTGCACCTCTTTACTAGAGTTACAGTCAACTAGGAAAGGGCACTGGTTCTGGGAGTCTGAACACCAGGATGAGACAAGACAGGCTGAGGGCACGGGATCAGAATTTCATTAGATGAAATTAGAATTTCATTCTAAGTCCATATCAGAATAGGCTTAGTGAGTTTGCAGATACACTCTGAGGTTATTTTCCTTGTTTCTGAATGCACTGTTGGTATATACATAAACTGCAACTACATGCAACCCCACTATTGGCTCCCTGACCAATGGAGTGAAGGCTGCTAAACTAGAAAGGGCATATTTGAAACCTCTGAAGTAATCCTTACCCATAAAACACAAGACTGAATCTTTGGAGAAATTTCAGAAATGAGTACCAACGTCAAGTCTTGAGAAGATACTGGGGTGCTGTTATGGGTTAAATTGTGTTCCCCTCCAAAAGTTATGTTGCCATCCCGGCCCTCAGTATCTCAGAATGTGACCTTATTTGGGAATAGGGTTGCTGCAGAGGTAATCAGTTAAATTGAGATGAGATCAGACTGGTGTAGGGTGGGTCCTTAATCCAATATGACTGGTGTCTTTATAAGAAGAGAAGAGAGACAGAGAAGAGAATGCCATGTTAAGACACAGCTACTCACAGAGGGATGTGATGAAGGGGTCAGGGACTGACATGATGTAGCTGCAAGCTAAGGAATGCCAAGGATTGATGGGCACCACCAGAAGCCAGGAAGAGGCAAAAAAGATTCTCCTCTGCAGGTATCTGAGGAAGCATTGTCCTCCAACAACTTGATTTTGGACTCCTAGCCACGAAGACTGTGAGACAATAAATTTTCTGTTGTTTTTAGACATGCAGTTTATGGTACTTTGTTACAGCAGCCCTAGGAAACTCATATAGACGTTATCTGTTTCCCATCTTCATTTAACTTCCGTTTCATCACTGAAAAAGTTAGATGGGTGTTGAAGAATGACATCGCAATATGTTAATAGATCAGGTGGTAACCTTAATCAGAACTGACTAATCAGATACGCCTTGACTGAAGAAAATCAACAAAGCCTCTAGTAATTGGTATGAAGTTATTGAGAAGGCAGAAGATTTTTTTGAGTAATAATAAACCAAGTCTATCAGAATCAATTTTCTTTCACTTGGCAGAGCCGACAGTATTTTTTACAATCTTAGTTCATCTCTATGTTACCTTTCTAATTCTCTATCATATCTAGGTCCATAGGGATTTTCATCATCTCACATTTCCACAGAACATTACCTGTCCACTACATTAAAGACATCATATCTACTGGACCTGATGAGGATAATTGACATAATATCAGGAAGAAAAATGCATGCAAGGTAATGGGCAATAAACCCCAAGAAAATTCAAGGACATGCCAGTTCAGGAAAATTTCTGGATGTCTGTTTTTCAGGCATGTTACAGCCTTAAAGGAATGACAATTGCTGCACTTTGTCCTACGAACCACAGAGAAAAAGTTAAACATTTAGTGAGCCTCTTTGATTTTTGGATGCAACATAAATCATATTTGGATGTGCTGCTCTGACCATTTACCAAATAACCTGTACATCTTTAAATATAACCTAGAGAAGGCTCCGCAGCTGTTCGAGGTTGCGTTACAAGAGCTCTATCACCTGAGCCTTCACACCCAGCTGATCTAATGGTGCTTAAATTTCCCATGGGCTAGTTGAATGCTAAAGGGAGCCTGCCACAAACCTCCATGAGTGTTTCAGAGTTCTGAGCAATAAAATTCTCCCTTCAGCAACTACTCTCCATTTGAGACATAGCTCTGGATTGTTGTGGGTTCTAGCAGAGACTGAAGAAGTCAGTCACCATAGAGCCAGTAACCAGGAACTTGAACTACCCCTCTTACACTGAGCGTCATCCACTCCCCTAAGCCATATCTGGGCATGTGCAGCAGCACTGCACTAGCCACTGGAAGGGGTATATATGAGACTGGGCTTGAGTAGCTCCTAATGGCCCAAGAAATTTGCATAAGCAGGTGATTGATATAGCACACTTCAACCTAATGCATTGATTTCTCTCCCTCAACCCACATTTTTGGTTTCATGAGAAAGCTCCCTGTGACAGGTTGACTGAAGAATAAAGTGGCACCTGCTTTACTGATGTTCTCTTAAAAGATCTGGAAGATTTGTCCCTTTATTGTGATTTCCCCTGGCGGAGTTGTCCTGGCACGTGAGTTGTTTATGTTTGAAATACAGCAGAATCCCTTCTTTTTTTTTTAAACCTGTATTTTTTTTTAATCTTTATTGGAGTATAATTGCTTTACAATGGTGTATTAGTTTCTGCTTTATAACAAATTGAATCAGCTATACATATACATATATCCCCATATCTCCTCCCTCTTGCCTCTCCCTCCCACCCTCCCTAGAGCTCTAATTTGAGCCATAAAACACGCGTATTAACTGACTGGTAATTAACTTCTGCTCTAAAGATATTTTGATTTTGTTTTATTTCTTTAATCAAAGATGGGATAGCTGAAGTGGTGGTGCTGGGATTTGACAAATTCACAGGCAACTCTCAAGGCTGAAGGAGTCAGAGCCACATGGGAGAATACCAAGCTAAAAATAAAAGTCTAAAATCAAAGTGTGAAATTAAAATCATTAATAGAAAATAGAGAAGGATGCAGAAGTCAAGATAAGTGCCACAGATGTTCTAACACATAAGGTCAGCAGAGCAGATTTGTAGTTGTCTTGAGGGTACAATAAAGGGAGCTTTATGACAAGTAAAGTAGGTAGAGTTAATTGGGGGAGGGAGGGGGATATATGGAAAGAACCTATCAGGGAGATTTTTCAGAAGAGACCAGGCAGACAAGTATTTGAAATTTGGGGTTAGGTTGGATGTTATTGACTATGTTTTATCTAGTAAAGAGAATACACACACTAAGTATTTAAACCTTCACTAAACAACCGAGCTTTTAAACATTTTCTTTAAAAACTAGGAATT